GGAAAAAAGGAAGAAGGCGTACGACAATTTCAATGAAAAATTTTCATTTCTGACCAAAATGAGCGAATTGTCATCATCAACCCTTACGAAAAAGGCTCGGTCTTTAGAAGAAATGTATCCTAATGATTTAGAGACTGAATTAGTTCAAGAATGCATACATTTTCGAAGCCACATTTCTTCGCAAAGCATTCTGGTGAAACCAGATTCTCCATCGTTGCAAAGTCTATCTTCGTTTCTGCGAAAATAGAGTTTGCAGAACGTTTATCCGAACTTGGACATAGCCCTTTGTATGGCCTTATGTACACCAGCGACGAATTGTTCGGGTGAGAGAAGTTTTTCTTGTCTAAAAAGAGTTAAAAATTATTTGAGATCGATCTTGAGCGAAGAAAAATTAAACGCTTTAGCGCTTTTGTGCATAGAGTCAGAATTGATGAACAAAATCACGTACGACGATATCATCGATGATTTTTCCAACAAAAAATCACGCAAAAAAGTATTGTAACGTACCTTTATAAATTTACCGAATTAAGTATTTTCAACTGTTTGTTAACGCAATAAAGATTATTCATTCTGTTTATTCACGTCTACAATTGTGTAAGTAGCATGCATTACCCCGCCTTCCAAATCTTACATGATTGAGCTTTAATTAGCTCAAAAATATACCTAAAAATTATTTTACGTGCAATTCCAACGAAATTGTTGAATTGTAAAAATAATCTAGGACATGACAATTTGACAATTGTGGAGGCAAGGGCGGCAAAATCTTTACAGTCTATACCTTGAAAATTTGTAAATCCGCCACTGGTCGTACTGTGACTGTGTTCACATAAAGTAACTGCAGAGAATTTAATTCAACACATTTTAAAATTAATAAATAAACATCGATGCGATGAAAATGTCTACAAAGAAATCTTTAAAGAAATATGAAACTTATGTGACGAACAGTTCTACGGTAAGATAGTAGGCAAACTTTGAGGTCGAACATACAAAATAATAACCCTGAAGAATATTTTAAAATATCTATTTACATTCCATTATTAAATAATATTATCGACATTATTGATAGATTCAACAAAGATATTTTAAATCTGTTTATAACACCATTTTCCCCCTTAGTTTGACTGGCAAGACATCACAGGATTTTAAATAAACGAATTGATTCTTTGATAAAATGATCTACCCCCCCCCCCCCCGAACATCTTACCAGGTCCGCGCCTGGTTATTACTTGTGTTTTTGTATTCAATATTCATATGATTATAGTGGTGTTTACTCATATTTGGATTTTTAATTGTAATTAATATTTACACCCCCTTCGTTTCTAACAAAATACACGATGTACCAGAATATGTGAACAATATCTTAGATTCAGAGATAATATTTTGGAAGCAAAAACTGTTCGTCAGCTCTAAATTTGCATAAACTAAATAATGAAAATTATTTCATTTGCTGACAAAAAAGCTAAACTTTGCTTTGAATTTCATAGATCATATGACCGCTCGCACCGCCGAGACATAGGTAATTTGTTTAGCCTCTCTCCATATAGCAAATATTCCATGACAGTGATTATACACTTGGACCAGGAAGGTAAGAAGGGATAGAGATGACATCACGTGATATATGGGTCACTACTATGAATACGGTCCCAAAAATCACACGTCAATTGAGCTTTTATAATTAACCGCATGGGCGCTCGTACGGTTTACGTAGTTCAAAATACATGTCTTTTTATGGGAATTATACATAATTTTGTCAAAATAATAAAAATAAACTTGTTTATAGCTAAATAAAGCACATAACATACTGTTGTATTTATTTATAAAAAAGTCTTACATATTTTACCTAATTGATACATTATTTACTATTTATTCCTATTTAAGTAAAATGCAAATTATTGATGATAAGTGTTGAAATTTGGTGGGTAGAGCTAATTATTTTTAAATTAAAGCTAAATTAGGCGAAGGGCATACTAAGACACGGTTTAAATGAAAATATTTAGTCAGGGATTTTACAAAATTTTATGAAAATAATAAAAATCAAAATGTTTATTGCTAACCAAGGGTCGATTCCACCATTGTGTTAAACGGAGATTAAAATGACATTGTTAATGTAAAAATGTCATTTTAAACTTCGTTTAACACAACGGTGGAATCGGTCTTTAAGCACAGAAAATACTGTGGATTTTAATTATTGTAAATAAGTCTTTGTTTTAATTGCTAACTAAAGTACAGAAAATACTGTTGGTATTAATTATAAATGAGTCTTTATGTTAAACATTATTTACTATTCATTATTTAATTTTATCTAAATAAAATAAAAATTAGGTATGACCAAATTTGAAAAGGTTTGTTAAATGGTGAAATTTGGTAAGAACAGTTTTGTGGTAATTTTGTATTCGACAACTACAATTTCATCATCCTGGTGAATAGTTTCTTCAGCAATAGGTCCTAGTATTTTCATTCTTTTTTTTTATTCTAACAAATTCAGTTCGGTTCAATGGTGGTTCCGTCTTTTCCTAATACTGGACAAGTATGAAGGGAGATTTGGGAATATACATGGTATTGCTACGTTCTTTATTCTCGGCCTTTCCCTTTTTATTTTGTTAACAGTACCATTAGTTAAAATAGTCTCATCAAATTTTAAAATATCATCTTCTAAAAAGTGTAGCTCGCAAACAGAATCATAACTAGACAGTACTTTATCAGCCCTAGGAATTACATGCTGCGATTGTTCTAAACGTTTAGGATCCTATAAAAAATATTTGCAATTACTAAATTGGAGTTCAATAAAGAAAAATAACAGTAGTAACTCTTCATCTAACATCAAAAAACATAAAAAAAGCAAATTTTCTTTTCTAGTAAGTTAAATTTAATGTGTAATTATTGTTGTTTGTAAGTCAGGATTTATGGCTTTATTATTTTTTATTATAGAATTTTGTAATTATATAAACTACACTCCGTAAGATACGGGTTGTGACTATTTTACAATAAATATATAATATTTAGAAATAAATACATTATTTTACTTACACTAGAAGCTTTAAAAAGACTTGGATTTTTATCCCCATGTGTTTTCTTTAATTTTATATCGGATTTATATCCCGTTTTTCAACCCGCAACGAAGCAAATCCTGCTTTGCCGTTTTTTGTTACTCATTGTTACTTGTAGTCAGGTTCTTTATTTCAGCCCTTTTTTATTCTTTTCACTAAATTTTACAAAAATCACTTTAATTCCCATTGACTTGCATAGAAAATAGACGTCGTTATTTTGCCACCCGCCAACTACAGTAGTTTTTTGGAACTCCATAAAAATAGGGACGGAAATTTGAAATTTGACCAAGACCGATTCGCCTCCTTATCTCTAGTCTTCATAGTCACTACTTTCACCATAGGGGCGTTTGATTTGAAACTCGATCGAGCGAGCGTCGAGGAGACCGAGAAGTGATGACGTCACAATAGAGCATTGAATCAAATGAAATTAAACAGAGTAAAAAACATAACCTCGCTTTTCTGTGATTCTTGTTTCTGGTTTGTATGTTGAAATAGTGAGCAAAAAGTAAATAAAATGGAAAAACTTTTAATAATAAGGGGTAATGGCCCTGAAATGCAGCATTTAACACAAATGCCCGCTTTGCTCTCACACTCCATGACTGTGATTACTGGTGATTAGATCTGAACAGAAAAAATGTATTTTCCAAACACACATTTTGTGTTTTTTTATGATGAATAATTTTAGCTATAAGACAAAACCGGCTAAGTAATTTGTTGACTTCTTGTCTGGTCTTTAATTTTGAGATTCAAATTTGTTTGTAAGTTAATTAAAAAGAGATAGGTAGAGACAAAGACAAATTTCTCCCTCTTCTCGATCTTTCTGCTCTGAGAACATCGAGCTCGCTCTATGTTCTTGCTCCAAAGCGAAACAAACACTTTAGGGATCTCTCGGAATGTCAATTCAAACACTTTTGAAGCGCTCGGAGCTCTCTGATGATCAAATCAAACGCACCACATATTGGTATGAAATTTTGACATTTGTATGTGTTGGTGTCATAACATTGTGTTTTTGACTAGAATGTAGTATTTTGTCTTTAAAAGCTATAATAGACTAAGGGTAAGATTACAGAACGTCTGCAACTTTGTAGATCTGCAAATAAGGCGAACTTACAAATTAAATTATTCCAAAAAATATCTGCAAATTCGCAATATTTATTGTGGATTATTACCCCCAACAACACTAAACCCAAATTTGGAATACGGAAACTTGATACGTAAGTGTACGTGTAAGTCAGTCATATTTGCAGATTTTCAAAGTTGCCGCCATATTTGCAGATCTTTAAAGTTGCAGACGTTCTGTAATCTCACCCTAAGTTAATAATTAAAATCGTGATTCGTTTTGTAATATTAACTAAGTTTTTGCATTATATCTGGTATAAATAGAAAGAAATGTTCAGAAATAAAATATCACCGAAAAATTTTTACAAAAACATATTAGTTCTCTAGAAAATTTCGTTTTTTGTTTCTAAAAAAAGCAGGCAATATTTTCTAGCCGGAACTTTTTACTAGATCGTCGCACATTAATAATTCCTTAGGAGGTAACCGGTATTACCACAACTCTTCTGTTGTTTTCTTATAAAAACCACAATGTTAAATTTGTGTAAAAATGTAGGTAAATAATTTCCCAATTCAAACACGAAGCTTTTAGCATAAATTTGAAAGTTATAACTGATCTTGAATATTTAATCAAAGATAATGAGCCTCTCACAGCGCCGTCTAAAGAGTTAAGTACAAGAGGTTGCAATTTGTAATCAAGTGGTGATTTTATTTACAAGGTTGGTAGAAAGTTTCGAAACTTACATAATTATTTTCTTCATTCGCATCCTAATTTTCAATTATTCACCTTAAGTTAAGACTATTAATTAAATACCTAAGTGGGATTGTTAAAGTCTTTATTTTGTATTGTATTTCACTTTTAATTTGGGGAAATATTAATTCTATTTTTCCTTTTAGTACTACCAACCACGTCCCGATTTTCCCAAAGAGCTCAATGATTGGCTAGCGTATGTTCAAGGACACCGAAATGACTTTAGAATAATAAGGAACATTGTTAAAAGGCGAAAAGCGGAAGTGGATTATTACGATGAAAAGGAAGCAGATAATAAAGTAAAATTTAACTTTTCAATTCATGTAAATATTTAGTGGTAATAGGGTTGTATGTTGTGAAGGAAGTAAAGTGATACAAGCGGATATAACCAACCTCATTAAAGGACAAATATCGTGATAATAATGATGTAGTAAATAACCAGTTAAATTAAAGAAAAAATGTATCATACAACATGCATCATAAAATAATGTTTTTTGTCTTATACTGTATACGAAGCGATGAATAGAGACAAAAATTTACAAGGCCCGACCGCATTTTAACGTCGGCCGAGCCGTACAAACTATTCATTTTCTGCTCGACTAATGCTAACTCTCTGTAGTTTTTACATGCACGTATTTAAGCGTATTGGAAATCGTTCGATAGCCGATACTGTACATAGTCTAATTTAGTAAATACATTTTTAAAAAGCAATACGGTAAACCGAAAACCTTTTTCTCATTTTCTAAAAACTAATTTAATTACAGATCGAAATTCACTAAAAATATGAATCTCTTTCAGATTCGTTTTTTTTTACTTCTGGAATGAACCATGGTGGAAGAATACAGGTGAAGCGGTAAGCGATACGAAATTTGGTCAGTCTTGCGCATGACGTCACCTTCGGAGCATATTTTTGTTTTGCCTATGTCTCCAATGTTAAAAAGCGACTTTTAAAGTTATTCTGATATTTTCCTGGTAGTGTTTAGAAGTTTATAGATATATTTATCTTAATATTTAATATCATTTCTATATATCAATAGGCCTGTTTAGAAATTATTGGTACGTATTATTAAATTAATTTCTAATTAAGTTGGTAGTGTAAATGATATAAAGTTAGGTTATGTAACATTTTTGTTGTATTTTAAAGATAAAAAAAATAGTTTCTATTCATTATTGTTATTTTAATATATCATTATTATTATTATATTATTGGTACATTAAAATCTACTATATTTTAGGGTGTGTAGTTACTAACAAAATGCCAGGTTGTGCAGTGTTTGGCAGCAAGAACTATTCAAGAAAAACAAAGGGAACAAATATTAAGTATTTTGGATTTCCGAAAACAGATATAGCCAAAGCCTGGGTCAACGGTTGCGGGTGAAAAGATACAATTAATTTGAAAAATGGTATGATTTTTGCAAACCTAATTTGAATATGATTCATTTTATGTCTTGTTTCTTTTTTAGGATAGTTTTGAAATACCCTTACAACAGAGGCTATTAAACTACTCCACTAAGACTGGCAGAAACTTAAAACAAACGGCAGTTCCTACTGAAAATCTCCCAAAAAGACAATTGTCTGCAGAAAGTGACGATAGATTAAGAAGGCAGGCAAAAAGATATCGACAAACATTTATTGAGAGCTTTGTTAATATTTCGGGGCATTCCAGACAATTGTCAACTGCAGACCAGGACAAGGAGAATCAAAGTTTGGAAACAGACACTCAAAATATATTGGTATCATCAGAACTAGAAACGTATGTACAAATTTACCTTATTAACAAAAAATGTGGCTTTGAAAAGAAAATTACACAACTTAGCATGTACTAATTAACATTACAATCATTTCAAAACAATTTTTTTATTAAATATTAAACTTTGAAGTGATAATTGCTTTTATTTCAATATTAACTGTATGTTATTGTTTCAGATGTGACCACCGAAATGAAATTATTATTTTAGAGAAAACTATTAAGAGTCTTCGTGAAGAACTAAACAAAATTACTAAAAAATGCAACAAATCAAATATAGAAATACTTTCATTGAAGGAAAAAATTAGCCAGTTGAAAAATAATTCTCAAGTGGAAATACAGGAAAGTAAAGTAAATGTTTCACTCCGGGTCAAATAAATGTTTTATACAATGAAAATAAAAAAAGAATTCGTTGAAGTTCGGATGACATAGCATCCACAATCTCCCTAAGAAGCATTCGTCCTAAGGCTTATAGATTTTAAGAACTGTTCATTATCCTTTACCTGGGTTTACTACCTTAAGAGACTGGGCTAAATGTTTAAATTTAGAACAAGAAATATACATTATAAAGTGTTAAGCAAGATAAAGAAGTAAACATTATGTACCTATAAACCATTTTTAAACATAAATAAATCAATTTAAAATAACACCTCTGTGTTTTTTATTAAAATAAAGTATGTTTTGCCAAGTGTTTCTATTTATTAAATACATAAAGGGGTTTACCAGCACCCAACCATACAAGAAAGTAATTGATCTGTGCATACAAGTTATTGATGGCCATGTTTGATGACTAATTTAAAATTAAATTATTACATTTATAATCTATAAAAGTAACTACATACTTTCAAACTGATTATTTAAGAAATTTGGCGACTAAAAAAATATACTGATCATAATAATTCATTTCACCTTAATTTTATTGTTCAGCATTCGTTAACATTATACACAAGTTTATTTGAATCGATTCAAAATTATTTATTGTTGAAGAATTAATTACATTCTTATTAACAAAGATAGATAACATAAGTTAAAATTCAAAGGAAAAGAAACAAACAAAATATTCATAAATTAAATTTTTTAAATTCTAATATCAAGACAAAATATAATATAAAAACAAAAATGCACAACCTAAGTACAAATATGATAATCGAGAAATATATATACAGGAGTATACACATAAATTAAAATGAACTACTTAATTCAAGGAATCAGAAAAATTTATCCACTTTTTAGTATACCTTTTTGAGCAAGAGTTTCTTGCTTTTTTAAACATATTTAATGAGTCAGTACTTCCTATTATTAATTAATTGGCAAGAGGTTAATTATTTTTCCACTATACACAATACAAGGGACACTACATATTTCAGTTTCACATTTAAATTAGTTATTTGTATTTGCCTTTTATTAGTTCCAGTTTTTATCCGTACTGAGCCACTAAAACTTTTTAATGGTAATGTCTCTGTAAGTTTAGGTACGTTTTGGCTATCATCTTGATCTCAATCAATCAGATAGCAATGCTAGGTATGAAGATTTAAATCCTAGATGTAACATCCTCTTCCAAGTTTTGTGATGGAAAAATTCAGTTTCAGATGAACACTATCTTTTTTACGCCAAAGAGAAACTATATTAGGCTAAATTCCTTGCACCATGGCTAAATTCGAAATAAATTACCTTTTGTATAAAAGCACAAAATATTTTTTTTATTTGGCATTACTTTTGCACAAGCGTCTATCTGCCTATAGTGACTTTTCTTGTATTATTAAGCATAACTTGATGTTATTTGACGCAGTTGTTATTTTCTTCTAAATATATTTTCAGTTTTATAATGATTATAGAACTAGGAAATAAAAATTAAACTTCTTGACAATCATTACAAAATGTAAACAAAGCCATGGAATGGCATGGTAGTGTATAGGCGGCCGTGGCAATACCGATGTTGACGTCATAAAACCTGCGCACCGCTTCACCTGTATCCTTACACCATGGAATGAACCATATTTGTAGTCCGACAATTAGCAATTTATTGACAAATTATATGATTAAGTACTCGTATATATAACAGAGACATAGTATATAGAGAGAATGAACACTGGATTACATAATATAAATTCTTATGAACAACCCACTCACTTAAGATAGTAACACAGACTTTGTAGCCATACCAGTTTTCAAATTTGATTCTGCTTTGGGATTTTGTAAAATTATCAGCAATCATTTTATCTGTAGGTATATACTGAATTTAAACTTCTCCTTTAAAACAACTTTTCGAACATATGTCTAATATGAATATGTTTAGTCCGTGAGTAATATACAGGATTATTAATCAATTTTATAGCACTTTTATCATCAGAGTAAACTGGTAGTTTCAGTAACTTTATATAGTTCTAATAGAACCCATCGAAGAAATAAGGTTTCTTTCAATCCATCTGCTAACGCAACATATTCTTCTTGAGTACTAGACGTAGCAATAGAAGACTCCTTTTTGCTTCCCCAAGATATTCAGCTTCCAGCAAACATGAACACGTAACTAGTTAAAGATTTCTTATCTTCGATATTAGATCACCAATCTGCGTCTATAAAGCCTGAAAGATCACAGCCACTAGATGTGTAAACTAAACCTTGATCAACTGAACCCTTTAGATAACAAAGGACTATTTTTTCATGATTTTAATGTTCTATACTGAAATTGTTATTAAACCTACTTAAATAATTTACAGCGAATGAACTGTCTGGTCTAGTGCAAATGGATAAATACATCTGACTTCCAATTAGATATTGATAAGGGACATTAGGTAATTCCCCATAAAATTTTACTAATTTTAAATTTGATTCCATTGAAATGCAAATGGGTTTACACTGATCCATTTTAAATTTCTTTAAAAATTCATGGACATAATGAGTTTGGTCAAGTTATATAATTTTAACTGAATTTGAATTATTGTAGGAAATTCTGATACCTAAAGCACAGCCTAAAGCGTATTCAGCCCTACCAAGATCCTTCATTTCTAAAAGTAACATTAGCTTTGACTTAATAGTTAACTTTTCCTGCTCATTATTATAGAAAGAAATCATCCACATACAGTGCGAGAAAAAATATCGTTTTTTCAGAAATTTTGTGGTAAACACCAGGCTCGTAATTACTTTGTTTTAAACCTAGTTCCATTAGTATAGTATGTGCTTTAATATTCCACATTCTAAAAGTTTTTTTTAAAACATATATAGCTTTCTTTAAAAGACATACTTTATGTACTGAATTAGCTTATACAAAAACTGCAGGCTGTTGCATACAAACGGTTTCGGTAAGTTCGCCATTTAAAAAAGCTGTTTGTACATCCATCTATACTTAGATTTAACTTTGCTTCAAGGCCTATAAGCAATCTTAGTACTTCATATCTTACTACTGGGCAAAAGTTTCTTCATAGTCTACACCATATCTCTGTATAAACCCTTTAGCAACTAACCTTGCCCTATATAGTAAAATTTTGCATTCAGGATTATTATTATTTATTTATTTATTTTTAACCAAACAGACAAAGGCCTTATTACATGGTTAATACAAATCGATACGTATTATCCTATTTAACATTTATTTTATTTTATCTAAGAATTGTAGAGGTTTAAACAGTTCACCAGAGTTGTTAAAGTTTTTTTATAGACATTTTTGAAATGTGGCTTGATACAATTATATGGAAATATTTAAAATGTGACTCAATATACGATTGTAAAATATGTTTTGAGGTAGAGACCAATCTATATCCACCAATAAGTTGTAGTTATTGATTAATTTCAAAATAGTTACAAGAGGTGCCCTAACTGTTAGAAGTATATGTGGTATATGAAACATTAACATTGTGCGTGTTCGCCGTCCGGGAACATTGAATGAAACTAGTGAGAGGATTTCTGGACTATTAATGTTACCGTTGATAACTTTGTACAGGAACATAACAGCAGATAAAGTTCTTCTTTGTTCCAATGATAATATTTTAAATTCATTTCTGAGATGACTTGATCTAACTGTATTGTAGTCAGGCCAAATACGATATTTTTTGTAATATAAATATCGAAGAAATTTATTTTGAATTTTCTCTACTGTTTTTAAGCAACTTGTGTACTCAGAAAACCAAAGAGTTGATGCGAAGTCCAATTTAGGTCTTACTAGAGTAAAATATAATAGCTTTATGGTGTTAATGTTTGTAAAATTTGCTGTTTGTCTTATTACGAATCCCAATATCTTATTTGCTGCGGAAACTATTATGTTTAAATGCCCATTTACGTGGCACTATATTTACATTTTTAGGCCTATCTACCAATGTAAATACTTCTTTAGCAATTAAGGAATTATATTTCTTTGACATTGCCAGAACCATTTGTCCTTGTCGGCGCCTTTAAGAGCTTCAGATACAGTAACACGATCATGAGTCTCTTGAACTTTAGTATGGTGCACATGGTTTTTTATTTAAACGATTTCTGTGAGGATATCTACAACTTACTTCGTCTTTAAAGATAGTATCTTTGGCACCTGCTGACTCAACATCACCAATTTCAGAAGTGTTTTATGCAGGTTGCTGGTACTAAATAGGCTTCAAGCTTACGATAACAGAAGATGTTGATGTTGAAGCATTAAAAATTTTGAGTTTACCAGAAAATAAACATCTGTAGTACGAGTCACTTTACCATTTTTGTACACTCTATATCCTACTGAGTCTTCACAATATCTTACAAATAAATTTTTGTTACTTTAAGAATCCCATTTGTGTCGAATTTGATCTGATTTATGAACAAATGCTCGACAACCAAAAATTTTAAGGTTTGATAAGTCTGGTTTAATTTTTGACCGAGCTTCCTCAGGTGTGAAATTTAAAATACTACGAGGCGAACGATTAAGTAGATAGACAGCTGTTTTGTAGGCTTCAGCCCAAAATTATTTCTGAAGTCAAGCATCGTCTAACATACACCTAGTTTTGTCGCAAATAGAACAAATCGCTCTCTTAGCTACACCATTAAGTTCAGTAGTCATTGGAATTGTAACATTATGTTTAATTCCATGTTCAATTAGGAAATCGTTAAAGTTTATACTTATGTATTCGCCCCCATTATCATACCCAAACATTTTAATTTTCCTATTAGTTTCATTTTTGACCATGGCTTTAAAGATTTTGAATTATTCAAGAACTTCATATTTATGTTTTAAAAAATAAACAAATTTTTTTCTTGAAAAATCATCTACGAATATAAGCATATAACGACAACCTCCAATGGACTAAGTTTCCATGGGGCCTGCTAAATCCGAGTGAACAAGCCATAAGACATATTTTGTTGTTTAGTTTGCTTTCCGTTTAAACTGTTAATGCAGGGTTCATTAAAAGTTTAATTAAAATTAGCACCTATTACAGCTTATGCCATATTCTTGAACAAGTTATATTAGCAGTATTCACAAATTCAGAAGTACAATTATTAATTGCTGAATTAGAAATGGGTTCAATTTATACGTATGCCATTAAATCTACTGGCTGTTTATTATCAAAAACACAAATTAAATCTTTATCTCTTATTTTACTAACTGACAATAGATTTGTTGATAATTCTGGTACGTGTAAAGTATTAATAGCACATTTAATACCATTTTCAGTAAGTATTGGAATGTCAGCTGTATCTTTAGAAAAAATTGTTTCTTTACTTTCACAAATCACTTCATTGTAAAGAGACATAGAACAACCTAAATTTATAAACCACTTACGATCATATTTCTTATTCATATTAGTCATAAAAACATACTGATGATCAGATGTAGTCATAAAAGCTTGAACATTTGATTTGCTATTAGATGAACTTGGGTTGATTTTGTTCCTAGAAGAGTCATCATACTTCTGAGGAAAGTTCCCTTTTTTATGTTATTTCTAACAAATATTACATCTGTACCTCTTTTTGTACTTACTATGGGTTTTATCTTGGTTATTATTTTTATTTTCCTGATAATATTTCTTTCTGGTTCCATAAAAAACCGTAGTATTATCATATTGATTATCTAATCATATTTCATATTTAGAAGTCTCTGTTTAATATCTTCAGAATTTAATTTGTTTAAAGATGATTCAATACCTATTATAAATGGATCGTAATATTAAGGTAAACAACTAAGATTTACATCAACAAATTCGGATTTAAGTGAATGCCCCATATTGGCTAGCTTTTGTTTTAAACTTGCAATATCAGTAACATACTTAGACATACACATTTTTGTAGTTATTAAGTGTAACTGAAACCAGCTGTCATAATACATATCAAAAAGCCCACGATTTTCTAATGTTTTTGACAAAATATCCCATGCTTCTTTGGAACTAGCAGCAGATTCTACATAAGAATATAGATGTGAGTAGTTGTGATTGGCCAGTTCTGGACGGGAGGTAATGAGAGGTAATTAGTAATTATCCTAAGTACTTACCCCCACCCTTCGCGCAATTAGCAAGTACCTCCCAATGGGCGTAATTGCATATTGTAATGAGTGTAATTACTTTATACATATATAGATGTAAGTATTTACTATGTATATTGACTAGCATGTAACTAGCATAGTAATTACCTCTTAGATAGTAATTACTATGTATAGCATGTAGTGTAATGAGTTTAGTCTAAGTACGTTTCGGCGATTACTATTGTAGCTTAGTAAGAAACTTTCAATGTATAATGAGTATCGCAAGTACTTTTCAATACTCCATTCACATATCATATAGGTACCTTGTATATAGTATGTATATCATATGTAATAAGTTATAGTACTCCCCATTACTTCAAACACAATGAAGTGGTATGAGTGTAAGTACATACTCTAGCTATGACGGTTAAGATTCAAGGATGTGTTTCGGTATGCTCCGACGTATTTCTCCTATGCTACAATAGTAATCGCCGAAACGTACTTAGACTAAACTCATTACACTACATGCTATACATAGTAATTACTATCTAAGAGGTACTTACTATGCTCGTTACATGCTACCCGATATACATAGTATATACTTATATCTATATATGTATAAAGTAATTACACTCATTACACTATGCAATTACGCCCATTGGGAGGTACTTGCTAATTGCGCGAAGGGTGGGGGTGAGTACTTAGGATAATTACTAATTACCTCTCATTACCTCCAGAACTGGCCAATCACAACTACTGATGTGGTTTAATAAGAACAAATATTTTCGCTAAAGCTAGATGTTTTATTGCAAAACTCCATGTCTGCTAGTTGGAAACACCTTCCATCTTCTCAATGACTAATTGAGCGCTACTCATTTTTCTCTATTATATAGATGGCAAAAATTATGTTTAAAATAACGTTATGCCCATTACCTGTTAAATATGCATGAGAACAAATATTATAAGTGACGTTATAAAACATTTATTGACAAATTACGTGATTAAGTATATATAACAGAGATATAGTATATAGAGATAATGGACACTGGATAACATAATATAAATGCATATGAACAACAATAAGAACGTTTTGTTTTTCAGCTCTTAAGCGATTTAGAAGGTGTAGAAGAAGAAACTCCTCAAAACGATATCTATCCACACAGTAATTTAGCAAAAAAGGAAAAAAATTATGATTCGAACCTCAAAACACAAAACAAAAATAAAAGGAAATTAACTAAACCAAGCAGAACTCGAAGAGAGTCTGATGAAAATTCTTTTTTTGAACACAGAAATAGCATAGAGATTGATCCAAAAAGCAAAATAGGTGAAATTAAACGACCAGAAGCAAAATATCCTGATCAGTTTATTAACCGCGGCAAAGAAGACAAAAGAGAAATCCAAATTGACATTTTAAATGACGGAAAATTACTTAAATCCATTAAGGAAAATAATAAAGAACCAAAATCAATAGTGTTAAATATTCAAAATGTAAAGGATCCACCACCTTTATTAAAAGATAACCAGCCTAAACCATTAGATACCCACGTGATACCAGTAAACTCACCACAAAGGAGTATAGAAAGTGATAATAATGCAAATAATAAAGAGGCAGCTTCCAATTTCAAGAATTTGTTTACTGTTAACGAAAACCTAAACACGGATAGTAGTGTCGCTAGGGATGCTTTCGCTAAAACTGCTCTGGTGTATCACGTTTCTCTCCCAAATCCTAACTTTATCGTTCCACATGATAGCTCCAATGGCACAGATTTAAATGAAAATAATTTCCAACGCAACAATTTTCGAGATATGAGCAAATACTGGAGTGATTCTGAAAAAAATCAATTGCAACAAGGTATAGTAGATTTTGTTTATTACATATTCTAAAATTTTGAGTTTTTATTCAGGCTTATTTTACTCAGAATGAAAATCTTATAAATTCTTTAAATTATACCGTTTTGCAATTTAACTAACATCAAATTAACTAAACGTATGTACCTACATAAAAAATTCCCATACTGATATTTTTTCTTTAGGTATTCAGTTTGCCCAGGAAACTGGAAATTTGAGAAAACAAAAAACAAATGATGGATTTGAAACTGCTAGGACCATTGTCGTAGAGCATGTAGGTAATAGACCAGTTATGGAGACTGAGCAAGATGGTAGACTCCAAATGAAAAGAAATTTACAAACTTGGGACGGTAAAGTACGGTTTGGAGGTCCCATTGTATCGACAAGAAATGAAGACGGTGAAGATATGCCATTCGATGAATTAGAAAATAAAATGAAAAGTAATATAGAAAATACACGCCAGGTTTCATTCCCTAAAAATGAACACAATCTGAAAAATCACAAGAATGTGAGAAAACATCAGATAATTATTGTTACTGACAGAAGAACAAATGAATTTTTAGAACCAAACAACGCATTCGATATTCCAACAGCCCCACAGAAAATAGATGAAAATATCAATAACCACATATCGATAACTATAGTTGAACCACAAAAAGATGAAGAACCTGAAGAAGAAACGAAAAACGAAGAGCATCTACCACTTATTGCGACACTTCCGAACCCAATAGGCGAGGAATTATTAAATTTGGATTCTACAAAAGATTCTGAGTGTACTGACAATCCAGAATATAGAGCAAAACAGCAACTTAACCAAAATTTTGATTTAAAGAATATTAAATTAAGTAACCTTGTTAATACAACTATAAAAGAAACTGATATTCCCGAGTACGATGAAAACAGTGAAAAAAATGAAGATAATTCGTGTGAAACAGGCCAATGTTTAGATGATAACCAGAACCTAAACAATAATATTGAAACGCATATAGAACCCAACTATGAGTATCCTAATAATAAAGTACATTTAGAAACAAAATATGACAATAATGATAGTCAAATAATCCAAATGGAACCAAAATATGATAATCATAATAGTCAAATGCGTGTAGAAACAAAACATGAAAATATTGATAAACAAATGTCAAATAATGAAAATCCTAACACTCAAATGAAAGTAGAATCAAAGTATGACAAACCACATAAACAAGAACATGACGATGAAGATATTAGAGTGAGTATCGAACCCCAACCTGGAAGAGCTCATCCTCAAATGTATAAAGAAATACACGACCAAGATCACAAGAGATATTTATCAAGACAAGGATCCTCAGAAATTATGAGATTACCTGAACTAGGAAATAATGCACAAACCGATTGTCAAGGTCCACATTGCAATGAAGAAGAACCATATTGTGAAGGTCCCAATTGCAGATCGTACAAGAATTTTCCAAAAATTAAACATAAAAGAAATCGTGGGAAAAGAAGACATAAACATAGACACAACTATGATAACTCAGCTAATGATTATATACCTGCATATAAAATAAGACAATTAAAAGCAGTAAATTATATTTACGACGCAGATTTAGAATCCCCCGATGAAGAAGCTTCGGATGCTGTAATTTCTTCTGAAAGAACGAAGCGCTTGGGTGCAAATAGGAAAGAATATGTGGAAGGTGACTATGGCGATGAAGAAGATTCTGTCTCTTTGAAAAGTAACGTGTCTTCCAAATTAATAAAACAAGTTGATAATATTTTTGCAAATCCTCACACAACTTGTGAACCAGATGATGAAGATTATTATTATGATGAAATTGATGAAAAAGGTACAAATGCCAAAAAAACTAATGATAATAAAGATCAGTCAACATCATTACTTCATTCTGAAGATGACAAGGTGAGTCTGGGACGAAGACAACATAAAAAAGCCAAAGTTCTTCAAAAACAAGGTCAAGCTAAAGATATATCCAAAGCAATACAAACTCAAATTCGAGAACCAAGGGCTAGTGAAGATTTGGCTCAATTACCAAAGTTTGTCATAACAGATAATTTGAATGAGGAGAATTTACGGAAAAGATCGTTAGTACAAAAGAAGGAAGAACTGAAAAACAAGTTTCCTTTGTCTTCAAAAAGTTTTTTTCCAAGTAATAATGTCAAAAGGAGAGACTCTAGTGATACAGATATGTTTGGAGCATCTGCAGCACCTGGAGCTGATAAAACTGCTACAGTTGCCGATGCTCTCGGCGGTGGTGCAGGTGGGGTCAATGGAGCAGATTCTAAAGATACTAGTGATGCCCTTGGCCAAACTGAACCCACAGCGAGTGTTGCAACAGATGAATGTGAAAGTAGTCATGTAAGCATTGGACCTGTGTGTGAAACAGATAATTTCACTAAACTCAAAGTCACTACCATGCTGAATCTTGTAGGAGCTGGAGAAAATCAACAAGATCTAGTAAGTTCATATTATTTTTTATTATGAATAGTAGATCATTTATTTCTTTTAAAAAATATATATGAGTAGATAAATGAGTTTTAAATTAAAACCTTATGAAAATTTTATAAATTTACTTAATATGTAGTTTACTTTCATCAGTCCTTCAAATAAAAGAATATTCTTTTTAGAATAATTCATTACCATCTATAAACGAACAATATCAAAATTTGGAAGATATTCTCGTTGGACGATTGCCACTATCCATTGTAGATTCTGTTTTCAAGCATATGAAAATGCATCCAACCTTTAAACAAAGATTTTTTAGAGGAATGAAGAAAAAGAATGCACCGGTAAGTTTAGATTATTTCTTTTTACATGTAAATTTGGATTTTCAAATTTTTTAGTACGCCATAATTTTGTGTTTATTAATTAATATACATAAAACATTTTTCAATTTTTTGGTAACCCGATTAATTAGGTTCTCTGCTAGCTTAATATCCAGCACTCTGAATCTTGTGAAAACCGTTGTGAGAACTATGCTATAATTTTAGGCTCATAGTATGCCCACAGATTATTCACAACAGATGCGACACCCGGCAAAAGATCAACGGATTTTGAAAAGAGATGTCTATGACCTTGAACTTTAAATGGGTATGGCATAGATGCTGCTAATTTTAATTATTTTCAATCACTCTTACTCAAAATTACTTTCTTCTGAACATGCGCATTGGATGTCAGGGTTGGTTTAGTTAATTGATGGTTTAATGTATAGTAACAGCACTTGTATGTTAAAAAAAACTGCCGATAGGAGATTCATTTTTAAAATTAATAAAACAAACATTTTGGTAACTAAAAATATAATACCTAGATCTGATGATAGGCACCTCCTAGCTCGTGAACCAGCCTACAGATTAAATGTAGTTGACAACGTCGCCAAGAGGTGCTTCTCTTATATCCGCCGGTGTTAGCCGATACTCGCCGAACACAAATCTTCTAATAAATGAGAGCGTCGAGCAATCGTAAAGGATATACCCAGATATACAAGGTGTGTTTTAAAAGAAAAATAATACGATTTGAATTAATATTTTTAAAAGTTTATTATAAATAAAAAGTTATAATAAGCAACGAATTGTAATGGAATGGTTAGAAATTGTTTGAAAAGTTTGTTAAGCGAGCTTAGCCATCAAATCAGGTTAATATTCCTTGAGTTTCCCTTTTATTTGTAGAAATAAATATATTGGCAAAGAATAGGGAGAGTATTATTATTATTATTATTATAGTCTATTGATGGGAAGTTAAAGAGAAATTGCAGGCCTTTTATCATAATAATACTGACTGCTGAATAAAGGCCATGTGCCAGGCCCATGACCAGACAGTCGATTCGATACTGCTTCTTTAACCACTAGTACAATTTGAAATATAAATTCTGTACTAAAACACAATACACTCCAATATAGAATATTGTAGCTATTTTATTTAATTCAGATATATAATATATAATAGAAAAACAATATCTTCTACAAAAAGTGTGTTCCAAAAATATTCTAAATTAACAACATGCAAAAGTAAGAAATTACAATCAATACTGAATAGTGAATACCAGCAACGCAAAACTGGCCGTACTGGACATGCACTAATGTACACTTGTTAAGTATGTAGCAAGCGATCATCGGTGTATCCACTTATGAACGCGCGATGAAACCCTCCTGGACTGTTGGGGGATGGATGTGCGATGATTAAAAGCCTTTTTACTTTTACCTCGCTTTTACCCAATACAATTATTTATCCCTCAGATAGCCATCATCAACCAACATATTGCTGGGCCACTATCAAAAGGCCAATATTAGGCTTTTATCTTTCAATCGTCGTATTCATTTTCCCTTCAATTACAACAGAAGGCCAGCAATATCCCGGCAGTTGAGTTTTAAATCTATCAAATATAAATAAAAAAACTATTTATATATAAATATTACGAAAAATAGAGCCATAAAAAAAATTGGTATGTGGCTAGAATCCTTGTTAATAGATGTTTTGAGCTAAAACAGAAACTTCACAACAGATCAGACTTCAATTTGTTGTTTGTTGGGTTGGGATATAATATTAATCCATCACTAACAAGTATACCAATAAAACATTTGTAAAAAGTTGAAGTTCAATCACTTATTGCATATAGCCAATTACTAGGACAATACACTTCTATCGCCTGTATCCACAAACCCAATAAAACAAATATTGAACAAATTGTTTGGAAGGTTGGTACTTCTGAACTTTAAAGTAAAATTGGATGAAAATGCGAAACAGAACATTTATTCATGAAGATTAATTATTTTTGGTTTTAGTTTTATATCTATCAAATTCTTCATGAATCAGTTTCATGAATGAGTTACTTAATGAATAAATTCTAAGATGTAAAGCACTCATTAGACATTACTTAAAATATAATCTTTCTATTTTTTTTCTGATTTTATTATTAGGTAAAATATTTGAAGACGAATAATCAACTTTATTAGGTGTGGGACGAGATAAGTAATTTTCTATATTTTCAAAAAATAAATATTCCAACTGATAAATGTACTGATAAAAATGTTCGGTTGGGTTTTTCGACTTCCAAATAATGATTTGATATCATAAGCTTTCAAATGAATAAAGATATTGCTGCTACCTTAAAGGAAATTGTAGCAGAAAAGTGTTCAAGTGTTGTTACAGCTATGTACTCGAATACTTTTCATACCTACCGTAGATGCCACCACATTTTTCATTTCACTTATTTGTTTACACAAGAAGACTAGACACAAATACCCAATGTTTCTGTCCAAAAATGCACCTAACGCAAAGCGCCATGACCGGTCCTCTTTGTCCTGAATGTCACAGAAATGTCACCTCACTTATAACATTCTAAGCAAGGTCACAGATTACCCAGATGGGAAAGTTGACAAAGAACATCAAAATTAAGAGAGAGATAAATGGCCATACCCATTTAAAGGTCCCTCGTAGAACTCGTTTCCACTCGCGTAGTTCCGAAAACAAAAGTTGTTTCATTATGCGAAGTTGCCGATGCTCCTAGCTTTTCTGATGTTATGTGACATTGGAATTTAAGTCAAATGAAAATGTACATACAATGTTTAGTTACCCCCACATACTTCGATTTTTAAGTAAGTGGTTACCCCAGACGTTACATGCACATAACGTATAATTATAATTCGCTAAACATAAAATAATACAAAACCATTTAAAGGTTTATATAGTATTTTTAATACAAATCCCGATGCACGTGAGCAATGACGTCGGTCATTCGTCATAGTACTACCAACTAATTAAAATGTCTCTAACTAAGCTAATAATCCGAAAAAGTCACGTATAGTCGCGAGCATTCAGGAACGTAGTCATATTACTAAAAAGTCGAAAACTGTTATGGTGATTATTTTGATAATTTTAAGAATTATTTAAATTATTTAGTTTATACATGTCTAATTCTTGATAATATAAAATTTATAAAAACATTATTAAATGTTTAGTACTCAAAAAATAATACTTTACATTAAATAATTTTGACATTCTGTACGCCCATGAAGCTCGTATTTATAGAGAAGAAATGTCATTACAGCAATTGGTACACCTTGTTGCGGTGTTGCAACCCCTTTTTAAAAAATTTCACTGATTTAGTTAGGTTATGTTTATGTTGAGTTAATTATTGATTGTGCATTTTGTTTTCTGTAATTTAAAATCCTTTTGCCTGTATTTTTAAGCTTTGCCAGTTATACTTATAAAAAACTGTTTTTCAAAACAACCATAGAGTGAATAAGCTGATTATTTGTCGTTTAATTTTTATATACAAAATGCCTAAAAAACTAAATAGTCCTTGTAAGGAGTTGATAGCTTCTTTATTCCATTGTTTTGAATGAGAGCGTGATAATGATGGACCACGTTTACCTTTAACTGCTGTAAGAGAGGTAACAAGTTATAAAATTTAATAGAAATATAAAATTATTTTCTTGTCTTTTTTAGTGTGTTGCATCATCTCTAAATAAAAATATTTCTACTGTCAGTAGTATTTGGCAAGCAGTCAAGAATAATGAATGATTAAAATCGCTAATTAAAAAGCATTCATATAAACAAAGGATTACCTACTAATACAATAACACTGGATACAAGTGGAATCCGAAGTGGTATTTATAATATGTATGAAACAAGTAAGTATAAAGACAAATCTATTTATTCAGTCATAATTTATTTATATTACCTATAAAAGTTTTAATTTGTATACAGTAATATAAATACATACTTATTTGGAGGTCAACATATAACTTTGGAACCTTTAAGAGAAAAGTTGATTGAGCGACAAATGTTTAATGGCTATATTGCATCATTGTCAACTGTATTAAAAGAATGAAGGAAAAAAGATAACCAAGACGTGAACTGTAAATAGGTCAGTTTTAAAGAAATTATAGAATTACAACAGAAGCATTTCGTTGTCATTGATGAAACATGTATCGTTCAAAATGAAACATTAAACAGCTCCTGGGAAAATAATTACAAAGGGCGTTAGACCTACAAAAATCGATGGCAAGAGATAAAACCAAATTTAAAGTAAATTAAGGTATCAGTAATTGTGTAAATCAAGTAAAAAAAAATATTAATATTGAAATGACATATCATATTGAAGATTTAATGATAGATACGCTATTCTAGCATTCATATAAAGACAATTTAATTGGAAAAATTTGATTACAGTGGTCAATAAATATCTACATGTTTTAAACATTTTCGAGATGTACAGTGAAACCCAAAAATGCCTTTTTTTTCAGAAATAAACTTTAAAACAATATCAAAAAATTAAAAATGAAGTTACAAGATTTGATATAACGGTGTACCTAACATTAAATCATTGATATAATGTGTTGTTTCGATATTACAATTTAGAATATAGCGACATTGACACACGTTATATGAAATGTCAACTAAATAGAAATAAATAAAACATTCTTTTTTCAGGTGCAAACCGCCAAAGAAATATGTAATAGATAATTACCTAAGCAGAACAATATAGACAAAGTATTACGTAATCTTCCCTGCCATTGTATTTTTAACTCCATTGAACTTATGTGTGACCTTTCTAAGCAATATTATAATAAAAATATTGGCAGAGAGGGAGTTTTTAATAGATTGGAAATTATTTTTATTATAATTAACCCTAATAGCGATATCGATGACTGCGATTCAAATACTTGCGATCTGGATTAGGAGAAATAAAAGAATTTTATAGGAATAATGAAGATTAGTAGATGAATAATTGTTTATGAGAAAACAGTGTAATTAAAAAAAAACATTGTCTAATTTTTAAAACAATAAA